CTTTGTTCCTATTCCAGATTGGAAGTCTTCATTAGTACCTTGGGTTAGAAAGAAAGATATGGGGAATACCATGTACAGGAGGCAAAAGCATGTAACCTGTTGTGCAGCTCCAGCCACACAACACAAATGATGTCAGCAGCAGCAGGAAGTTGCCTGGAATCAAAGACGTCTCTCTCTTTTTGTTTCTGGAGGCAATTGAGCTTGTCTCTTTGCCTGCAAGCCAATCACAGCAGTGCATTGCCACTAACTTATTATGAGTTGTCGTTTGCAGTCCTGGCCATGTGCCGTCTAACAACTCACACAAGGCCATAAATGAGACGGGCCACATGTTAATTAACGGCAATTCACCACAGAAGTTTATGCTATTACACTTATGCCAGTGTAAATTCCCAATAGGATTCTGTTTTCTTACTGTGAAATCAGTACCATCAAATGGAAGACTACTTCCTACTAAGTTTATTTGAAATGGCAGCCTTAAATTGTGCATTAGAGAAGTGCTGGGTTGTTGTGGTCTACATGGACAGTTTGTAGATTTACACTCTTCTATCCGTACCCTTCAAGACAGAAAGGTATTATTTCTCTTCATTTTTCCCCCTTAGAAAAAAAAATTTATACCAAGCCTAAGTGCTTTGCCACTGTGGTTTGGCAACCAGCCCTAGAAATGTGCAGTAGATTATTGGCAGTAGAACAAGACTCCTTAGCAGAATAGAATGCTTACATAGGTACACTGAGGAAAAACGTTCCAGCCAATTTCATGGCAAAGAAATATGTGTTCTGTGTTTCTCCATCACATTTTAAAACCTCTGGCACAACTGTTTTTTGAAGGAGCTTTAAAACACTAGAGCAAATGTCCTTCTTGATTTAATGTGCACAGAATGGCAGTCATGCAAATAGTTTTCTCCATTTTCTGGTGTGTCTACAGTACATCCAGTTATGCACGCAATGTGTGGCCGGCCCATGACAGCCATTTCTGGAAATGTAGAAGCCTGCTTGCCCATTCCTATTCTGTACAGATGTTCTTGGACTGCAATTCCCAGAACTATTTCTCTTCATTTCCCCCCTTAGAAAAAAAAATTTATACCAAACCTAAGTGCTTTGCGGGATATAAATAAAGGCAGTAGAACAAGACTCCTTAGCAGAATAGAATGCTTACATAGGTACACTGAGGAAAAACGTTCCAGCCAATTTCATGGCAAAGAAATATGTGTTCTGTGTTTCTCCATCACATTTTAAAACCTCTGGCACAACTGTTTTTTGAAGGAGCTTTAAAACACTAGAGCAAATGTCCTTCTTGATTTAATGTGCACAGAATGGCAGTCATGCAAATAGTTTTCTCTATTTTCTGGTGTGTCTACAGTACATCCAGTTATGCACGCAATGCGTGGCCAGCCCATGACAGCCATTTCTGGAAATGTAGAAGCCCGCTTGCCCATTCCTATTCTGTACAGATGTTCTTGGACTGCAATTCCCAGAAGCCTTCACCACTTGCTGTGCTGGCCAGGATTTCTGGGAGTTGCCATCCAAGAACATCTGGGGACTTCCAGTTTAAGAACCACCGCTCTAGAGCATTCCCCCCGAGGCCCTTCTCTCCACTGTCTCCTTTTCTTCCTACTGCCCATCCCTTCCAGGGCTTCCCTTATATGGTCCCAGAGCCTGCACCCTCCTTTCCCTTCCAGGAGTCACTTCACTGGGCTGGGGCCACATGAACTTGCTTCACCTTCAGGGCCTCCATTTATGTTCCTTCCTCCTGCTGTCTGGGTTTGTCCTGTCCAGATTACCTCAGTGTGTGGTCATCAGGTTCTACCTCTCCCAGGTTCACTGGGGAAACCGCCATCCAGAATCCTGTGAGCCCAGGTTGAAGGTGAGATGGCCCACTGACCAGGGTGCATAGGCTACTGCCCCCTGCCTCAAACATATAAATTGCCTTGAGTTCCTTAAGAGAAAGTTGGGATGACAGAATAATAATAAAGTCCAGTAATAAAAAGATGGGAAGGGAGATCTGGAAAAAAAACCTCTTATTTTCAGTACAGCTTGTGCAAGAAAATTGCCTAGCAGATTTAATGTATTTTCTCAACGTTTGGGGGATTTCTTTATTTATGATTTCAAACTTTTACCTGTACCATTTCCCAAGGGGGACAAAGCAGGTAGCTTTGTTTCTTAGCCAGAATTGTCATTCTGGCATTAAAGATTTGACCATACCAGTCAAATCTGCACGATTACTTTAGGAATGGTTCTGTTTTCCAGTTTGGGTCCCCTTGTGTAAGGGCTTAACTCCCAAACAGAAAATGGGACACCTACTGTAAACCAATTATGCTGACAAGAGACATCAGAGAATGAATCTCACGGGTGGGAGGACTACTAAGGATTTTAACAGAAAGTGCCACAAGCACCCGCTAAAATAAAGCCTACAGGAATTCACTTTCTTGCCCTTTCCCGCCCTTTCCCTTGCTGATTGTGTTAATTAACACAGCTGTAAAAGTAGTTGTTATTATTAATGAAAATGCTCTGTGTATTTGGCTGTTCACAGCTAGGTTTTCCTGCTAGACAGCACGACATTTCAGAATAGTGTGACAAAAAACTATTGAGTCTATAGAGAGAAAAATAGATTTTATGACAGACTATTTTAAGGCTGCAGGTAAGCATAAAGTATTGTTTGTTGGAATTCTATTCACCAGCCGTCGAGGTGCAACTCATTAGTTCTTTTGTTTTGTTGTATGCAAAAACAAGGTAGGGAAATGTTTGTCTTCCTCTCTCATGCTACTGGAACCTGTTTTCACAAATTGTTGTCATTTATATACATGTAGAACCATCAAGGTATACGGCACTGTACAAAAGGATTAGAAACTATACCCCATGATATGAACAGTTTTGAAACACAAAACAGCAAATGGAACAGAGGAAAACAGAATAGAATAAATAGTAAGTCACAATTAAAGGAGACCCACTGAATCAGTGTACAAAATAATGTTTAGATTGATCATAAGTATCAGAGTGCTCAGCAGAATCAGGTATTCATCTTAATATATCTTTTATATTTAAGTTCCTTCAGTAGGGTGCTGGAATCTCACGGAGGAGCTGATGGAACAGTGATATCAAGTTTGGGGTCTAAGGCCTCAGTTAGCCATACCATTAGGCCCATAATTACAGCACCTTTGAAGCTATGGGATTAATAAAATACTGGGGTTTTTTAATTAAGGAGAAATTTAATCTCTTTCCCCACAAGTTTTATTCTTCAGCCTTCCGCAAGCCCAATGTAGAACATAAATCCAGTCCCAGTTCTCTCTCTCCCCCTCTTTCCCCTCCCCCCCCTCACACCATCTTCTTCCTCATGGCATTTTATCATCATAATACAGACAGGATATGGCCCCAAAATGTGCTTTAGGAAAAATTAACATTTATTTCTGGCCATATTATATTCTTTTATTGTATTTATGGTGGTAATTTGTGCACTGACTCCAAAGCATAATTGGGAGGTCTTATATAAAAAGCGTAATTGAGAGGAGTTATATAAAAATAGTTTGCTACTTTAAAATAATGTAATTCTTTAAGAAAAGTATATCTGAGTCTGAGAGTCACCTTGGCCTTTACGGTAGTGCTGGTACTCTTTTATAAGTTGTCCATAAATCTGGGTTAAATGATGAGCAGTGCTTAGTTCACTGTCGTTTTTGCATCAATGAACTATCACAAAGCACCACATAATGGAAGCATTATGCTTTGAAAGCATCTGCGTTTATTATTGCTATTTTTTCCAGCCATGGAAAAATGTTAGGTGCCAACTCAAGCTGAGAAATCCAGCTGGTATGGAGCAGGCAGATTCATAGCTTCGTTGACTTCAATAGAGCTTTGCTCTTGTCTGGCCGCCATCAAATAAAAATCTGCAGTGACTTTATCTTATTTCAATTCCACGGAGTCTGTCTTCTTCCCAGCTGTTCCTTCAGCTAACTGTTCATAGTTTCTTTCTCTTAGTTTCCATTTGTACTGTCCTAATGAATAGCATAGTGTTTGTGCTGCTGTTTTCACTGTAGCAAGACGTCAGGCTTCTTGCATGATAGCCTACATATTTAATTTGTTCTATGCTTGAAAGTCTAATATACTTCATTTTTCACTGAAAAATCCTGTCTGTTTTTCCCCAGTCCTACTGTGCTTCTTGTCAAGCCAAACAGAGAGGGGGGGGAGGAGGAGGAGAAAAACAAAATGCCATCTTGAACATGAGTTATACAATACAGTGGGAAAGCTAAGCCACTATTTCAGCTTGAAATTTTCCATCTCTTTAGATACATATATTGGTGTATTTCTCTGTGCTATTGGATAACTCAGGCAAAAGTAATCTTCTGCATAGAAAATAATACAACTAGATTCAGTAAAAAAGGGGGATCAATGCAAAATCAGATCTCGGGGCCAATTAGGCTGTTACACAATGCACACTGGGAATAAGCCACATTCAACAAACAGGTAAACCTGTATAGCAGTACACTTTGGCCCTAACTCAGTATTCACCAACATAGATGTGGAATATAATCATGGATGCACAAAATATAGAAAACCGTTCCTTTGGTCTGTCTTTTGTTTGTTTTGTACATGCAAGAAGCCCCTTAAACCTGACTGATATTATTTAATCTTGAATATTTTATCCTACATTGAAGCTGGTTGATTATTTTTAAAAGAAAACAATATTTATGTAATCTGTGGCATGAATATCAGTGAAACAAAGCAGAGTGGGGCTTGTGAACACAGGGCGTCACTTTCCTGATCTTCATCATGCATTCTGTACCATTGCGTATTTTGAAATTGGATGCCTGATGATAGAATATTATGGTAGATTTGTACAGCTGCTTTAAATGCACATATATGCTTCACCCACTTATTTGGGGCATAATAGCAATTAAGATTTCTTCCCAGAATTGCATCATGTGACATCATCCACAATATAATTTGGTGAAAATAATTATAAAGGAAGATAACCCATATATATTTAGCCATTCTTGTTCTTGTTGTTGCAGTTTTTATGAAAGGAGGAGAAATCAGCCAATACGTAGGATTTATTAAATCTGGTTGTTGCAGTGCTTACCGAATAATCCCAGCCCTTGTGAAGAGACCTTTGGGGAAAATGGTGAGGAATTACATTTTCCTTTTGAATATCAGTTCTGGAAAAAAAATCTGCTTAGGTACTCAGTGGAACTGCTTTCATGAGTACGAAAGGGCGAGGATGAAAATGTAAGAATATGATTTATGCCATACAGTCATGAAAGAGGAAAGAAAAAGAAACAAAATATTTCAAAATGGGTTATTTAGAGTCATGTATTCTACTGTGGGACGTGGGTGGCGCTGCAGGTTAAACCGCAGAAGCCTCTGTGCTGTAAGGTCTGTAGATCTTCAGCTGTAAGATCGAATCCACGTGATGGAGTGAGCACCTGTCACTTGTCCCAGCTCCCACCAACCTAGTGGCTCGAAAGCATGCAAATGCGAGTAGATAAATAGGGACCACCTCGATGAGAAGGTAACAGCATTCCGTGTCTAAGTCACACTGGCCAAGTGACCACGGAAGATTGTCTTTGGACAAATGCTGGCTCTATGGCTTGGAAGTGGGGATGAGCACCGCCACCTAGAGTTGAACACGACTGGACAAAAATTGTCAAGGGGAGCCTTTATCTTTACCTAGTCTATTGTGGCCCCTAGTTATTCAGTCAGGCAGATCTCTCTCTCTCTCTCTCTCTCTCTCTCACACACACACACACACAATGCGTATGTCTTCTCAAAGTGGTAGGTCATTGGTTTCCCTACTTTTCAGAGAAGAGACTGGAGGCTGCCAAAAATTCCATCCATTTAATGATTTTAGGACAAGATCATATAGGTTGGCCATGTGTTTTGTATAGGGAAACATCCTCTGTTTGATATCATCCTCTACCTGGATAGGTGTCTGTTCTGAGAAGAAACAGCAGGAGTCTCAAAGTTGCCTATCAAAAGATAACATGAGAAAAGAAAAAGCATTTGACACAATCTTTCCCACTGTGACTAGGTTTGTTCAAATTTCAGTTATTGCTTACACATCTGCATATTAAATTAGTATATGCAACTCTTATGGAAACCTGTGTCATTTTGGATGATGCATTGCTCTTTTTCTGATATGTAGAACTGGACACCTTATGGTCATGTGAACATGTATAAATGGAAATGTTATAAGAAAAATTATTAAATATGAGTTTCAACCCTTCTTTGTATTCATTCATCACATCAGGCCATAAATGATGGCTTCTGTGAGTGTATCCCATAACGTTATCTAATCCACTTCTTGCACTGGAATAAAGGTGGTAGAGGCAGTCTTTCTATTTTCTGATGCAGTGCCTGCATATCTTTACACAAGAAGGAAAAAGCATGGAATGCAGGGCCTATTTATGCCTTATGATGTTGGTTCCCAACCTTGGGTCCTCAGATGTTCTTGGACTAAAACTTACAGAAGCTGATTAAAGGATATTGGAGTGCATAATTGAGTGTTTTTCATGCCTGTACTTTGCATGTATTTTATGTGAATTATCTTGTGAATTGTATGCTGTACACCCCCAATTTTACATATGAACTGAAGCAACATGGAAGAAATAATTTGGATTCGTGTCTCTAAACAGATCAAACAGATGAGACAAGTCCTCATTGGCCAGCTGAATCCAAAAGAGTCTTTTGGAGAAATGAGCATTCTTCTTCACATCCCAGCTACGTATACACTGAAAGCAGCAACACCTGTTGAACTGGGACTGATCAATGCTTCAGACATACTCAGTAAATACAGTACAGCACTTGTTTTACTTTCCACTTAATGTTGCTTTTCAAATGGGTTCATGTACAAAGGGGGACGTCAGAAATTCTTGAAGTTTATTCCCAAATGGTTTAGCAATCTTCTCCTAAACCAAGATGGTGGGCAATATGTACCCCCTCGGGCCCCAATGCATCCCAATTCGTACCTCTGAGTAACCTGAGCACCCCACCACTGGCCAAAAAATTTAGTTCAACAATTCCCTTAAGCCCTCCAGAGGGCAGGAGAGGCAGTTTTGCCAACCTTTGAGGGTCCCCCAGAAACCTTCCACAATCCTAAAGTTGGTTTAATTTTTTAAATAATTGGTGGAGGTGGCCTTCTAAGACTCACAAATGCAACCTTCCACAATCCTAAAATTGGTTTAATTTTTTAAATAATTGGTGGAGGTGGCCAAGACTCACAGATGCCCGCCTCCATCCATCCATCCATCCATCCATCCATCCATCCATCCATCCATCCATCCATCCATCCTTCCTTCCTTCCTTCCTTCCTTCCTTCCTTCCTTCCTTCCTTCCTTCCGT